ATTCTAACCATTCTTCGCCTTTGCCTTTCTGATATTTTTCTTGGCCTTCCAAGAAACTGAATAGCATATCACTACGATATTTTCTTACAAAGAAAGAGCACATTATTACAGTGTTTCTCACTAGTGGGTCGCGGATCATTCCGTAGGGGGTCGCGAGACTTTCTCTGTGTTCTCGGTGTTACACCGGCACAGTAAGTGTGCTTCACAAAAGGCTCATTGAAACAGTGACCTCCAACGAATCGTATTTTCGAATGTCGCATGTTGAATCATTATTGCCGTAACTTTCTAACGCTGTTTCTAAACTGTCCTATCACAATTACTATCACTTCCGTTGCCTCGATGGCTATTTCGCACCGAATGGGCTGGATTGCGTAGGCATTTGCACGGATGGCGCGGCCTCGATGACTGGCAAACATAGTGGGGTTGTGAGGAAAATTTTGGACAGAGCACCTGAGGCGACATGGATTCACTGCTTTTTACACCGTGAAAGCCTCGCAGTCAAAGAAATGTCAGTGCCCTTAAATGAGGTGATGGACATTGCTGTCAAAACAATTAATCTAGTGAAGAACAGTGCTCTCAGTTCCCGCTTGTTTTCAATTTTGTGCGACCAGCTGGAATCAGACCACCGCCAGTTGTTATATCATAATGAAATTAGGTGGCTGTCACGGGGAAAAGTTCTTAATCGTCTTTTCGAAATGCCCAAGCAGGTGCACACATTTCTGGAGGAGAAACGGTCTCCCCTGGCAAAGCATTATACAGTTCCCGCTTGTTTTCAATTTTGTGCGACCAGCTGGAATCAGACCACCGCCAGTTGTTATATCATAATAAAATTAGGTGGCTGTCACGGGGAAAAGTTCTTAATCGTCTTTTCGAAATGCCCAAGCAGGTGCACACATTTCTGGAGGAGAAACGGTCTCCCCTGGCAAAGCATTATGCGGAGGCTGAATTTCTTGTGAAACTGACATACATTTCAGATATCTTTGACCAGCTAAACCTATCCTTTCAGGGGAGAAACAACGGTGTTTTCTAGTCTGCCTAATTATTGAAAGTGTTTGTGTGTTTTCGTGAAATTAATTATAATAAGCATATACGGCGTAGCCTAGGTCTAAAGAGGCATTTCAGTTAGTTAATTATTTCCAGCCTTAGTGGGTCGTATGACTGCCATACAAAAAAAAAAAAGTGAGTCGCAGTAGGCAAAAGGTTGAGAAACCCTGCATTATTATGCAGTCTCAGAAGTGTGCCCAAACTTTTGCATAAAACTGTACGTGTGTATGTTTGGGGGCATGCAGGTTGATGTTCAAATATTTTACTTTTTTAGGGGAAATATCCATTATACTACATTTTACCATTGTAATGAATATTAACCTTGTGACAACCAGTGCTGGGTTACAAGACTATCCTATTTAAGTCAATGTGTTAAACAAATTAGGTCAAATGTAATATAAAAGTAATCAATAAAAATTGGATTCACAAACATTTTACACCAATACAGTAGTTTTTGGAACATTTTAGAAAATAAAGTACTTAATTATGTTAAATGAAGTTTTAAGAAGACAGAGAGAGAGAGAGAGAGAGAGAGGTGAGTCACTGGGACAGAGGGGAGGAGAGACGAGGTTGGTCATATGATGCACATTTACACAGATTGTCCTGTGACTGATATCACTCACACTCTCCATCCGAAGAAAAAAACAGATGCCGTTAATCAGTCATGAAGAAGCTCTACAAGTACCTGTTGATCTTACTGGGTAACGTACAGCATTCATGTATCTGCTATTTTGCTAGATTCACACTAATGTTAACACAGTTTTCTGCAATGCTTTCCTTTGTGCAGCGATTTTGCTCTGTTTTTAGTTTAGTTTGCACTCATTTCACCCTCTACTGTGGATTTACAGCACGTTTACAGCACAAGATCTCTTAAAACCACCTTTCTTTCTTTTTTGATAAAGCCTGAACTCATGATTTTATGTTACATTTTTTTTCTTCATGTTTTGCATTTATTTTTTTTCTCATCATACAGATTTTGCTCATTTTGCTTGTCACTGTTTCTCTAGAAATTACTGTGAAAATGACTTGAAATATTTGTTCCTCAATAAAACTAGTGTGCTACCTCAGAAAACCAAGTGATGTTCTGATATGCAACAGTGCAATTCAAATAAACATTACATTTAAATAATTTCTAAAGTTCATTTGAATCTTGTTGTTTACACAGGGGTTTTAGCAATTCAAGAAATGGCAAATGGAGCAGATGGTAAGAATATTTCAGTTTAATGACATTTATTTTATTTGGTCCCATTTCATTAGTTTTTTAGGGAACCATTTTTTTTTTCAACCCATAAAAAAAGCATAGGGTTTCATCAAAAATAAGAGTTTTTGCCAAATACTTTAAATTAAACAGTGTCAGTCCATACAACAAATGCTCTGCAATAATGCATTTTAAATAATTCTCCAGTCCCTATTTTAGATTATACACCTCTAATAATTTAATACACTAAACCCATTACTGCATAGGACTAAAACAAATCCAGAGTGTCATTATGAAAGTGAGCAGAAGATGACAGAATAAATAAGGTTATTTAAATGAAACGCTGTTGAAGAAAGTTTTATAAAGAATTCCATAAATAATTGAAGAGACCTTGATTCTTGAAACATTTTCCAGACATCACATCATCCTGGCGATTCGCAACCCTGTCGACCACATATGGGACATTTTCTGCTACGCTTGCCATCGACGGTGACCGTGGCACATGTTCCCACACCAATTCAGGGACCAACCAGTGGTGGAGACTGGAATTATGGCAGGGATATCAAGTGGACACGATCGCCATCACTAATGCATACAGCAGCAATTATTACTGGATAAACGGTGCAGTGATTCGTGTCGGGAACTCCCCTACTCTTTACAGCAACCCAGTGTGAGGTTTTCTTCAACATTTATCTTTGATTTATGCAGATAACATGAATATAAACAGAAACAGATAACAGATGATCTTTCTGTCTGTAGATGTGCTGTAATTCCTACCATTCCATCTGGTCAAACGACCAACTTCTCGTGCGGTTGGATGGAGGGACGTTACATATTTGTTCATATTCCTGGAGATCAGAAGACTCTTGTTCTTTGTGAGGTGCAAATCTACGGGTATTTGATAGGTAACATTTATTAGGTAAATCATTGTTGTACATTACGATCTAATTGAATTCTTGAAACACAGTGTAGGGCTGCTAAAGTGCAAATCGATAGAGATTTTGTCAATGTCTCTGTTCTCAGCAGGTACTGCTTACAATGCTGTTTCATGCATTCAGAGTTTTTTACACTGTTAAAGAGTCGGATTCTCATGCTAAGCATGGACAAATAAAAAAAAAACAATTTGTACGTATGACGGAGTATTTCTGTGCTAAAAATCTTACTTCCGTGTTCGTACAAGTTTCGGAGAGTTTTTTTTTTAAAACTGTATATATATATTTTTTTTTAATTGCCTAAATGTCAAAATTAGTAAATTAGTACAATAATCATGAGAATATCTTTATAGAAAAATCCTAATACTGAAAATGTTGTTACATTATCATGAGTCATATTTTTCCCTTACAAAAATTAACCGTGGTTTTATTATAGTAAAAATTTAGTAACCATGTTTGTTTGTTTTTTTGTCAGATTGATTACCGTTTGTATAACCATTGTTTTTACTACAAATACCATGGTTAAACTATGGTTAGTAGTGTAGCAAAACCATGGTTAATTTGTGGTTACCATAGTTTAACTATAGTTAAAAAAAAATATTTCTATTCAAAGTAAAACCATTGTTACTATTTGAAAGGTTTGTGTTGTTGTCTTCTCTAGCTTCCTCTAAACCTGTTATAAAGCAATGTCAGGGCTGTACAGTGCGACATATATGTCGCTCGTGCTACAAAAAAAAACTGGTCTGTGCGATGAATACATTTACCACTGTAGCACACGTGCGATACAGTTCTGGCGCCTCCGTCTCAATATACTGTACAATGTGACATACATGTGACAAACAAATGTTAAAGGGGTCATATGATGCTGCTAAAAAGAACATTATTTTGTGTATTTGGTGTAATGAAATGTGTTTATGCGGTTTAAGGTTAAAAAAACACATTATTTTCCACATACTGTACATTATTGTTTCTCCTCTATGCCCCGCCTTTCTGAAACGCGTCGATTGCCGATCCGGCGATCCACAGCGCAAAGTTGATGTATTTCCTCAGCGACCAGCACAGATCAGCTCTAGGCAAGACGAAGCAGATATCGTCCTCTTTTGGAAGACCAAACAAAGTAGTTTCGCTTTCACAACCATACAGCAGCAATTATTACTGGATAAACGGTGCAGTGATTCGTGTCGGGAACTCCCCTACTCTTTACAGCAACCCAGTGTGAGGTTTTCTTCAACATTTATCTTTGATTTATGCAGATAACATGAATATAAACAGAAACAGATAACAGATGATCTTTCTGTCTGTAGATGTGCTGTAATTCCTACCATTCCATCTGGTCAAACGACCAACTTCTCGTGCGGTTGGATGGAGGGACGTTACATATTTGTTCATATTCCTGGAGATCAGAAGACTCTTGTTCTTTGTGAGGTGCAAATCTACGGGTATTTGATAGGTAACATTTATTAGGTAAATCATTGTTGTACATTACGATCTAATTGAATTCTTGAAACACAGTGTAGGGCTGCTAAAGTGCAAATCGATAGAGATTTTGTCAATGTCTCTGTTCTCAGCAGGTACTGCTTACAATGCTGTTTCATGCATTCAGAGTTTTTTACACTGTTAAAGAGTCGGATTCTCATGCTAAGCATGGACAAATAAAAAAAAAACAATTTGTACGTATGACGGAGTATTTCTGTGCTAAAAATCTTACTTCCGTGTTCGTACAAGTTTCGGAGAGTTTTTTTTTTTAACTCTGCCAGCCAGTAAAAGGTGAAGAATGCATTTTACTGACCTCGATCCATGAAACGTTTTCCAGAGAACGTAGCGCTATGGCGCACCGTGAGCGCTTCATCACAGTACGGAGTCTGGAATGCTAGATATGCTGTTGATAGTTTACACCATACCTGTACCCAAACCGCAGAAGAGACCAACCCGTGGCATAAAGTGGATCTGCTGAATGAATACCAAGTGAAAAATGTGGCCATCACTAACAGAGATGACCTCGCCACTTATCAGAGGATAAACGGGGCGGTTCTTCGTGTCGGGAACTTCCGTGACGACATTTACAGAAACACAATGTGAGGTTTTCTTTGACTTCTTATCTTTGTCTACAATTGACAATGAACATAAATGGATAACGTGACCTTTCTGTATGTAGATGTGCCGAAATTCCTACTATTCCTTCTGGAGTCACAGAAACCTACTCATGTGGAATGGTGGGACGTTACGTGATTCTTCACATTCCTGGAGCTCAAAGGATCCTTAGTATTTGTGAGCTTGATGTCAACGGGCAGTTGATAGGTAAGTCACTGCTATAGACAGGGCCGGACTGGGACAAAATTTCAGGCAGGGAAATCTCACACTCATTTAGACCATCCCATGCACCCACAAGAAATTTTGAAAACATGGACAACCCTATTTTTTGTATGGCCATCACTATCACATAAAAAAGGTTTAAATTCCTATAGGCTGGGGCCATGCAATATAATTAAAGGTTATCTTTTGAACTGCACCTTTACTTCCATTTTCCTTTTCAATCTCTTTTTCCTCCTGACATCTCTCTGTGTGTCACTTGTGTGTCTGAACTTTTTTCACAAATTTTCTCATTCCTGTCACTTTTTCATCAGCACATCTACTGTTATGAACAGAACTGTCTCCACCTTGTTGCAAAACAACCATATATATATTGATTACCGTTTGTATAACCATTGTTTTTACTACAAATACCATGGTTAAACTATGGTTAGTAGTGTAGCAAAACCATGGTTAATTTGTGGTTACCATAGTTTAACTATAGTTAAAAAAAAATATTTCTATTCAAAGTAAAACCATTGTTACTATTTGAAAGGTTTGTGTTGTTGTCTTCTCTAGCTTCCTCTAAACCTGTTATAAAGCAATGTCAGGGCTGTACAGTGCGACATATATGTCGCTCGTGCTACAAAAAAAAACTGGTCTGTGCGATGAATACATTTACCACTGTAGCACACGTGCGATACAGTTCTGGCGCCTCCGTCTCAATATACTGTACAATGTGACATACATGTGACAAACAAATGTTAAAGGGGTCATATGATGCTGCTAAAAAGAACATTATTTTGTGTATTTGGTGTAATGAAATTTATGTGCAATCACAAAAGTACATTACTTACATGTGCTTTAAAGCCTTGGCGGTTTAACATTTAATTCACGTGCTGTTCTAGCATGCGTTTTTTTTTGATCGCGAACACATGAAGTGCGCACACACCGCACACTAAAACAGCACCTGCCTGATTACTAGACTAAGTTGTCTTTCGCGTCTGATTGATTTTGCGTCTAATACTGTCAAAAACACACAGGGTTTACATATAAACACAGTTGGTTATGTCTAAAATGAAAGTAAACAGTTTAGAGAGAAACGGATGCGTGCAGTAGTGATGTTCGGTTCTTGAACGAATCGTTCTTTTGAGCCGGTTCTCAGGAAGTAACCAGTTGAGCCTGTTCACAAATCAAACTGAATCGAACTTTAATTCCGGGTTGATGACGCAGGATGCACAGCCGAAGTAGCACGTCCAACTCAAAAAGAACTGAATGAGCCGGTTCAAACAACTGCCAAAGTTTGCTGAGGATTACCGAGGACTCAACAAAACCGAATGAGCCGTGGCGAAGTTTGCCGAGGATTACAGAAGATTCTGATGAGTGAGTTGACGATACAGTGCAAGCCTGAGGCGCGTACTGGAAATATGCTTATTATGACTGTTATTAGTTTACATTTTATTAAAACCTTTCTGTCGAGTGATGTAAATAAATTTTACTATAGTTTCTGCATGCATATTATATTTAAAGTTGCTTAAGCGAAATCAAGGAGTTTATAAGACTGGTTTATTCATTATACTGTAGACATGTAGAACATATCCGCATTTGTGCATCAATGTCTGTAATGTGTGCTGTAGGTCTGAAACTTTTAGGAATCTTATCCAAGTTGTAGGCTTGTCAGTATTGGTCAGTCAGCCGTAGGCTATCTGACATAAAGGATCCGCGAATGAAACTGTGACCACAAACACCATTTGAATTATATGGCAATAATCAATATGCTTTCACACAAATAACTTTATTTTTTGAATGTTTCAATATGTGTTGACACAAATAACTTATTTGAATTTTTCATTGATACAACATGGCACTGAGTTGCTAGAAAAGAAATGCGTAGAGACGTTATTGCTTGATGACGTCAGGAACCGATGAATCAGCTTTTGAACCGGTTCAATGAGCCGATCTGTCCGAAAATAACCGGTTCGCGGAAATGAATCGGACTTTGCATCACTAGCGTGCAGCTCTTAAAGGGACAGAACTAAACATGCTGCCGCTTCTCATTAGAGGAATAGTTCACCCCAAAATTTAATTTCTGTCATTATTTGCTCACATGTTGTCCCACCTGTATTAATTGCTTTCTTGTGCTGCACACAAAAGAAGATATTTTGAAGAATGTGGGTAACCAAACGGTTTATTTTCTAATAACAAAGGTAAAATAATCTTTGCCCACTTTGGCCTAAATGTCTGCCATTCTTTTTTATTTAATATTTTGTTGTGGCCATTTTTAGCAAATAAAGAAAAAAACTTTGTCTAAAAACAATTTTTGTGATGGTTTGTATTTTCTGTGCTCTGTATGGAACATCAATGCCTGTTTAAGTGATGAACTCCATTACTTGTGTTTGTT